TCGTCCCCCTTTCCCTTCTAGTTTCCTCAAACCAAATATCCTCTAAATTTTAAGATTAGAATATTACTACTATCCTATTCTATAATACTAATAATTGTTTTCTATAGAAAATTTTATTCAAAATTAATTATGATCTTTCATTTTTTATTTTTTAAGGTAAAAGAATATTTTTCATCTTATTTTAACATTATTATCCACTTTATCACTAATATTTCATTCTTTAGGATAATATATGTAAAAATATAAATTAACTACAAATTTTTAATTTTGAAAAAAAATTTAAAAATAACTATTACTATTATGAAAGGGTTTTTCTTACTTGTGTTTGAATGGCATAAGTTAAGAGTCAATAATTAAGGTATCTTTTCTTAAATTTAATAGTATTTTAATGAGTGCTCCTATTTGTCTTAAAATAATTATCATTTTTGACTAAAAATGTATCCCAAATTAATTGTTATTAATTTTATTTTTTAAAGTAGACAATTTTTTTTTCTACTTTAACTTTATCGTTCTCTTAATTTTAATTATTTATCTTATTGGTAACATAAATAAAGATATTATAAAATGTTTTCAAATTCTTAATTTAGAGAAAAAAAAATTAAAAACAAAGTTATCATGGAACAAGAGAGATAACAACTAACAACTACTCCTTTTTTTTTTTTTTATTTGTCCCACTTTGAACTTTCACACATAGAAATAATTTAGGGGGAAATAAAAAATACAATAATTATTGTTTGAAATAACATATTTCTCCTTAATAAAAGCTTTTTCCCTTTATCAATATGTTAGAATAATAGAAAGCCAAAAAAAATATGTTAGAATAATAGGTGTAAAACTTATTAATCGTAACTACTAAAATTATATTGCTAATAACGACTAATTAAATGAAAGTATTACTACTTGTTTAATGAAATTCTAATGACTAATTAACTGCTTTTTTTTGGTTCTAGACCAATTATTGAAATTTTGGCAAGTGTTAGGTGGGATTAGCGATGGTCTTGACTACTCCATTTTCCCCTGGTGTCAATCTTGTAATGCGAACCAGTTTATATTAATGAAATTTGTTTTACATAAAAAATATATATATATTATTACTAGAAACGCAAATATATTTCCTAATATTTAAAAAAACTACTTATCAGTAATAATTAAAAATTAAATCCAGTCTTATCCAAAATGAGAGTAATTATGAGTAATGGTAAAAAAAATTAGGATTAATAATAAATAATTACAAATCATATATTACAAGTGAATTATTTTTCAATTCACAAGGATTAAATTACAAGCAGGATTTAAATATTACAAGTGATAAATTGTAAGGGCTTTTAATTCATAAATTAATGGGTCAATGAAGGAGATAACATGATAGGGAAACGCATATGGTGTCGAACGCACAGAAGGACCACATGGATACCCGCTTTTTATTGTTTTGAAGTTATTATTTATGATGAATTAATAAAAGTTTTATATTTTCTTTTTATTCATTTTCTAAATGAAATGAAGAAAAACAAATAAAAAAAGGAAATATTTATTGTGAAACTACCGAGAAGCAATAAAAGCCCACCTACTTTGAATAAACATGTGGGACCAACTTATGACAAATCATGAAGTCATGGAGGAGTTGTTTACTTGTATATAAAGGATTAAGGCACATTGTGGCAATGGCACGGAGAGAACGCACTTAGCGCTTATTGCTTGATCTAAGTATATGCATTCGCTTCTCATTTTGATGGATTCGAAATGGTTGTATGCGGTACTTACAATCTTCTTATTAGAAGGGATGTGGTGCCAAGGGTGTTTGGAGCAAGAAAGAATTGCTCTCCTGCAACTCAAGTCTTTCTTCAATGATCCTTGGGGTTTGAGAAATTGGGGGAGAGGTAAGGAAAATTCAGCTTGTTGTCGATGGGAACGAGTTAAGTGTAACCCCTCTAGTGGACGAATTATCGAACTCCATCTTGATGGCATAGTGTACGGTTGGCGTAACTCATATCTGAATGCCTCTTTGTTTCTCCCATTTGAGGAATTGAAGAGTCTTAATTTGGCTGAGAATGGAATAGCTGGTTTCATTGAAAATGAAGGTTTTTATCTATTGATATGCCTGTGAACTTAATTACGTGGTTATCAAAACATATTTGAATATATATATATATATATAAGTAAATTCATTTCATTTTATTCTCCTATATATATAAATATATATTTTTTCTTTTAAATTGAAGCAAATTGAACGGCTCCTTTGATATGTTTGCAGATTTCCATAGGCTTTCAAAGTTGAGCAATTTGGAATTCCTTGACTTGAGTTGGAATGACTTCAGTAGCAACATTCTGTTATCTTTGAATAAGCTTTCATCTCTTAAGTCTCTAAATCTTGCAGGGAACTACTTTCAAGTGTCAAACCATACTAACGGTATAATTTGATCAATTTCCAATCATCTTTGGTTTGGTTTATGGGAACCCATTTCCTTATTGTTTCCTCTTACAATTTGAAACTTTGTTACTCTAAAAATTGAATCTATAATTAACTTGTATAAATTGCAACAAACTGTATTACAGGTTTTAAGAGGCTTTCTACATTGAGAAGTCTGGAAATCCTTGATCTAAGTGGAAATGACTTGAATAATAATATTTTAACATCTCTCAGTGAGCTTCCATCTCTCAAATCTCTATATCTAGTCAACTGCAATTTAATGATAACATCAAATCATACAGAGGGTAAAATTTTAACTTATTGTTGTTATAAGTTTACCAAAGTTAATGCAATATTAATTATTTTAATTAAAGACATTATGTTTTGATTTGTTAACTTATTACAGCTGATTTTGAAAACCTATCAAGACTCCACCACCACTTGGAACTTCTTGACTTAAGTTATACTATGGATTTGAACAACGACATACTATCATTTCTAAGTAGTCTTTCATCCTTGAAAACTCTTATCTTGCGGGATTGTGGACTTAAGGGGACTTTGAGTACTAGAGGTAATTCAATTTGCTCTTCCCGTTTTCATTTTTATTATAGTTTTTCTTTAAAAAGATTTGTTATCTTGTAATATTTTTTCTTCTTTTGTTTTGCTGGCAAGCTTAAATAGAACTCAACCAATACATCTTTGCTGTATGGGAAACCATTTCCTTATTGTTCCTCTTGCAATTTATAATTTTTTTTTATTCTCAAAACTGAACTTGTAATTAACTTACATGAGTTACAAAAAATTATATTGCAGGTTTCATAAGGTTTTCTAATTTGAGGAATTTGAAAACCCTTGATCTAAGTGGCAATGACTTGAATATTAGTGTCTTAACATCTTTGAGTGAACTTTCATCTCTCAAGTCTCTACAATTGGCATTCTGCAACTTATTGATAGCATCAAACCATAGAGATGGTAAAATTTTAACAAAACTTATTATTTGTTTACTAGAGATGATATAATATTGATGATTTTAAATAAAGACTTTATGCTTTGAATTGTTAATTTGTAGGAGCTGATTTTGAAAAGCTATCAAGACTTCGCCATTTGGAATTTCTGGACTTAAGTCATAATATGGACTTGAACAACAACATTCTATCATATTTAAGTAGTTTTTTATCTCTAAAAACTCTAATCTTGTCCAATTGTAGACTAAATGGGACTTTGAGTACAAGAGGTAATTAAGCTTGTTTTCACTTGTTCTCATTTTTATCATATTTTTCCCTTAAAAAGCTGTGTTATCTTGTAATATTTTATTTAAATTAAACATATTTCTTGTTCTTTTATTTTGATGTTGAGCTTAAACAGAATTGAGTAATATGAGGAACTTAGAGGTGTTAGACATCAACTCTAATAACATTGAAAGCCTCAAATCTTCCCAAGGTACATATATTTTGTTTTATAAGTTAACATTTAATATTAACAAAATTAGTTGTAATGAGATTATATATATTTTTGGCAGGTGAAAACAATTTGAGGTTTTTCCATCTAGAGGTCCTTGATTTGAGTTATAATTTCTTCAACAACAGTGTGCTATCTTTCATCAATGAATTTTCAAATCTAAAATCTTTGAATATAAGTGAAAACAATCTAAAAGGATTAGTAGATGTCACAAGTAAGTTGAGGCATCCTTTAATCTTCTTTTTCTTGTTAAAACATTGAAAGCAGTCTATTTGTTACTTGTGTGTGATTCAATAACTTTCTTTATGGTTTCCCTAGAATTTGATGCTTTAAGATGCTTAGAAGAGCTACGCATGAGCTACAATGAACTCAACCAATTCATTTCCACTAATGGTATTGTTGAAATGATATTGTAACTATACGTTTGCTTTATTTTTCATTTAGACAGAGACATATCTTTCAACTAAATACATGTTTTGTTCAAAACTCTTTAACATAATCTTCATTTTCTTTTTATCATCCACAGCAAATACAAGCTTCCGCAAGTTAAAAACTCTCCATCTTTATGGAATATTTCCCAAGGAAAGCAGCGCATCGGCACAGTTATCATTAGAGGCATTCCCATCACTTAAGAAACTCTATATGTCAAATAACTATCATCTAAACCAAACCATGTTTATTCAAAGTAAGTATTACATAGATGGCATTCTAAAATATTATTGCCTGCGTTTTTTAAATCAATTTCTTTATACTCACAATTTTTTTTAGCAACACATATTCATAAGAAGTATGATAACCATTTTGCAGCTTTGCAAGTTTTGAGCAATCTAGAGGAACTTTTCTTGGAATCGGTCCCTCTTAGCATAAACTTTCTACAGAATATTGGTGTATTGACTTCTCTCAAGTCAATATCTCTAAGATATTGTGGGTTCACAGGAACCTTACCAACTCAAGGTTGGTGTGATTTGAAGAACCTTAAAGAGATGGATCTTTTGGGAAATGAATTGGTAGGGATACTGCCTTCTTGCTTGGCTAACTTGACGTCTCTTCGACTTTTGGATATCTCCCACAATCTATTCACTGGAAATGTTGCGTCTTCTCCCTTGATTGATCTTACTCTGCTTAAATATCTCTCAATTTCATATAATAAATTTCAAGTTCCAGATTCATTCAAGTCATTTGCTAACCATTCCAACCTTAAAGTTTTCCTGTGCGATTTCAATCAATTGGTTCCAGAATATGATAATGTTCAAACAATGGTTCCTAAGTTCCAGCCAAAAGTCTTTAGTTTGTCAAACTGTAGGGTAAATAAGGATCTCACCAAACCTTCTAGCCTTCTCTATTACCTATATGACTTGAGATATGTCGATCTTTCATTTAACAAATTTATGGGAACCTTACCTTATTGGTTGTTTGAAAATAATACAAGATTACAGGGTCTTGTCATGAAGAACAACTCTTTTGTGGGTTCTTTCCACTTGCCATCACACCCTAATCTTGATATTTTGGAAATAGATATTTCAAATAACCAAATACAAGGTGGAAACCCATTAAATATCAGTCTAATTTTTCCATCTTTAAGATGGTTATTCTTGTCTGGAAATGGCGTTGGAGGAAGAATTTCCAAGTGGTTGGTCGGTATGAACTCTTTAGAAGTTTTAGACTTGTCTAGCAACCAATTCTCTGGAACATTACCAAAAGAGTTTGGTATGGGGAACTCATTATATAGTCTTAGACTTTCAAACAACAACCTAACTGGAAAAATACCTCTTAGCGTATTTAAGTCTCAATCATTGAATGCATTGTATCTGAACAGAAACAATTTTGAAGGAGAGATATCCAATGTACACTTTTCTTGGTCCTCATATCTAAGCATATTGGATATTAGCAACAACAATTTGTCAGGAAAGCTTCCAAGATGGATAAAAAATCTCACTTATTTGCAAGAATTAGATTTGTCCAACAATCACTTTGAGGGTTCAATTCCAGGGGAATTTTGCTATAATGCTGACCTTTCACTTCTAGACTTGTCTCACAACAATTTGTCTGGCTCTCTACCACATTGCTCTAGTCCACTTTCACCACAATTATCACATGTCTATTTGAGCAAAAATAGACTAAATGGTCCATTACAACATTCATTCTTGAACATCTCTTTATTGAAGATACTAGATCTTGGAGAAAACAGCCTTTTTGGAAGCATTCCAAAATGGATCGGCACCCTTTCTTCATTGAGTATCTTGCGTCTAAAAGGTAATCTCTTTTCTGGTGAAATTCCCAATGAAATATGTGAGTTGGTGCAACTACGAATCATGGATTTGTCTCATAATCAACTTTCTGGTCATATACCTTCTTGTTTGGGACATTTAATTGGTGCTCGAAATTCATTTCCAATTTGGAGTACTGTTGAGGAATTATCACCATTGACCTTGGACACATCCACAGAAATGGAAAACACATTAATGCTAGAGGTATATACACAATGGGATAGGTTTATACAAGATCAAGTAGAACTTATTACCAAGTGGTGGTCTTACACTTATGAAGGCAACATTCTTGGTTACATGTCTGGAATTGATCTCTCTTGCAACCAATTAACAGGCCAAATCCCACTTGAAATGGGAAACTTAAGTGACCTTCATTCACTTAACTTGTCTCACAACAATCTAACAGGACCTATACCTTCTACCTTCTCAGATCTGAAGCAACTTGAGTGCATGGACCTTTCTTTCAATGATTTGAATGGTGAGATTCCATCTCAATTTACTAAGCTAAACTCTTTGGCCGTTTTTAGTGTTGCGCACAACAATCTTTCAGGTCTTATACCATATGGAAAAGGACAATTTGGAACCTTTGACAATAGCAGTTATGAGGGAAACCCTCTTCTTTGTGGACCTCCGTTGGAGAAAAGTTGCAAGGAAATTGATTCACAACCAAAGGTACCAAATTCCTTAAATGAAGAAAGAGAAGGCAGTTTGATAGATATGGATGTTTTCTATATAAGTTTTTTGGTTACTTATGTGGTTGTTTTGCTATCGATTGGAGCAGTCCTATACTTAAATCCATATTGGCGACGGGCATGGTTTTATTTGATTGAGAGGTGTGTCACCAAATGCTACTACTTAATCTTGGATAATATTCTAAGATTCTAGTATTTTAATAATGTAACTAATTTATGTCAATTAGTATGTACCTTCATCCATGCCAAGTTTTTAAATGCAATTCAATTTTCATGAATTAGTACTACTTAATTTGCTTTTCATTGATTGCTACTTCGCACAATTTTTAATTAAATTGTGTGTTCCATCTCTCTAGGCTACTCTAGTTGATCAAGTAGGTAGTTATGATTAATTTAGATGGAGACCATTATTCTAGACTATTTAAACTTAGTTGTGAACAACAAGACAAGGAGCATCATTTCATAGTCGGCATTTTGAAGCGGCGATTTTTGAACAAAGTAATTCTATTACTAAAAGGAATCATGGTCTGATCTTTATTTAAAGGTGCACAATCTTGATCTTAATTGCTTTTTTCCCAAATTGGTTGTTAGAGATCCAATTTAATTGAGTCAAAGGAATATATGTGAAAGCATACATGTTATGTGGTAGTTTTGGATAATGAAGTTCTAGGTCAAGTGTTGTGTTTGTGTGTGTGTCTATATATATATATATATATATATATATATTTTTTTTTTTTTTCTGTTTTGGGACCGATTTGCATGTTGAGGTTGATTTTTCTTATTTTTCTGGTGGAGGTATTAAGAGAATGGTTAAGGTAGATTAGAAGTTTTTTGTGTTGTGTACACCAGGTGTTTGATAAATTACTTGTATGGGATGGTGTTCTGTTGTTGTTTTTTTTTTCTGTTTTGGTGGGACAGTTCATTGTTATCTTGTATCTTGTCTTTAAAGTTGCATTAGGAGTTTGGTTGGGATTCCTGTTAATTTGTATATATTTATAATATGGGTTTGAATATTCCTTACACTCATTTGAATAAAACAATTGTAGATAACAAAAAGAACAGAAAAAGAAAAACTAATTTAGGTGGTATTACATGGGGTTAAAGATGATGCAGTGCTTGTTAACTCTATTAATACTTCTAGCCATAAAAAAAAGCTTGATTTTAATAATTAAACAGAGAGAATATTAAGAAAAATGAAGATTAATTGAAAACAAAGTACAGAATATGAAAAAATGGCATAACCTAGAAAACAAAACACAGAATCCCAATCAAATAGTCTTTCACATCTACAAACAAATTGGATTCTCACAAATAAGCTCCTTTTGATCCTCATAGTTCGTCACATGCATATATCTTAAATTGCAACCTAAAACTAAATCATACAAAATTGGTTTTACAAGCACATTACATGTAAAAGATTCACCTAACTTTAGCACCTTGAATCACTCACCAGCAAAAGAATTAACAAAACTGACAGAACAGTAACACCAATTAGAACCATCTTTACTCCACCTCCCTTTTCTTCATAAAATGGTTAACCAAAATCTCATAACTACTTCTCACAAACCTCTTGAAAACAAGCTAATTTTTGAAACAGAATCAAGCCTTTGTTATATAGAGAATATGCAACTCACAGGCAGAAGGACAATCAAAGTCAAATCAAGTCTAACCATGTCGAAAAAGAGAAATTTACAACTAATGTCTGAAGAATAATAAGGCATTCTTATTCAAAAATCGTGACCAAACTGAAGCATTGAAGAAACTAAACCATAGTTAACTCATGACAAGGCGTAACTGAACAAGCAACAAGCTTACTGGGCAAAAATGTAAAATTATATGCATTGAGAAAAAGGAAAAAAAAAAATGAAACTATTACCTCTTACTAATATAGTAACCCATAGAGCTTACATAACATGTGACACTTCCATGTAACTAGTGATGCTTAGTTGGTTTTCTTTAAACTTTGGTATCTTTATTATTGCCGCTAGATAAATTGGCCCAAAAATCATTAGTATTGGGTGGCTTCTCGTTTGCCATTGAATGGTTCATTTATGAGTGTTTATTGCAAATGCTATTAGTACAGCTCTTGTTGCCCAATTAAGCTGCTCTTTAGAGATTATAATTGATTGTAATCCTTATTTCGGGTGGTGTTATTGCCACAGCCACTAATGTTAATGCCACAGCTTTTTTTAGTTATTTGACCATTAACCCACGCGGAGAAGGTGGTGACTGCTGCAAGTTGGATTCAAATGAGGGGTATAATAGTCAAATAACTAAAAAAAGCTGTGGCATTAACATTAGTGGCTGTGGCAATAACACCACCCCTTATTTCTCTATCAATTAAAAAATCACATGATTTATTAAAAATTTAGGAATGGTAATTACTAATTACTATTCTAAATTGGTAGTTCATAACTATAACAATATGTCATAATTCAATTTTTATCTAGTTAATTGAAGTGTTTTCCATCAAATTTCCAAGTTTTAAATGAAAATTTCAAAATTCTAAGCTTTATTATGATATGGTAAATTAAATCAAAAAAATTGTCAAAGAAAAGTCAAGATTAATTGAAATTATTTCAATCCATACTTAGTTGAAAATATTTAAAATTGCATGTTTTATTGAGCAGGGACAAGATTGCAGAAATATGGAACAGAGGCGATCAGATGACCCAAAACAAAAGTGTAGAAGATGAACATGTTGGGCTTCAATTGCGAACCCAAAGTCACCCTAAACCCATTTAAAGTTCAACCCAAAACCCATGAAACCCATTTCGACAAGCCCAAACCCAGTCCAATTCCCATTAAATCCTCCCTTCAAACTCACCGGTTAACCCTTTTTTAGTTTTTAGTACTCGTATTAATTAATTAAAGAAAACCTAGACTCAAAGATAATAGAGGGAAAAGATACAGACCTTGCTCTCTTCTCCTCACCGTTCTGTTTTGCCCCATTGTTTCTTTCTAGTTGTTTCCCTATTCATTGATCCCATTTTGTGCAAGCTCTGCATTCTCAACACGCGCACCATGCCACATGGAAGCACAACTGAGAGCCCTGCGATGGTCCCCTTCTTGGTGTTTAAGATCTACTGACCAGCCCCAATTGTCTTGCTTTTTCCCAGAAGAAAAGAGATTAAATTTGGCCTTAAGCAATCAAAGGTGGAGATCAAAGGAGATCAAATAAGAGAGTGAGAATCTGAAAATGGGTTAGGGTTTTGTGAGTTTTTGCATAAATAGGCATTAAAAAGGGTAACCGAAGGAGGAGAGCTGATTAAAAAAATAGTGACGATAGAGAGAGAAAGGTGAGTTTTTTTTTTTTTTTTTTTTTTTGGAATCAGCTAATGAGTTGTGATCGAGCATCCATAAGCTCGAATTGGAAAAAGATTTTGTCTGTAATCCCACCTTCATATTGCAATTCAAAAAAGATTCTTGTTCAATCTAAAGTATTTCTTTAGATTTTGTGGGAATACAGCTTAAATTCCAGCTTGAAGGACTGATCCAACATTGGGTCTCCTCAAGTTTTTTCTTTTTCTTTTTTGGATCTTGGGTTGCACACCATTGAGCTACTTAGACCCAACATTGGGTCTCCTCAAGTTCAGTTCTTTATTTAATCTTATTCTATTTTAACCTGTTTTTGCACTTAGAATTTCATGGTTATTGATCTGATTTAAGGATATGAGTTTATGCATTGTGTTTAAATCCTGTCCTTATGAGAATTTTAAGGATTTCACCGTTTACCTATTCCTGTCTTCTAGTTTTAATGGGAGACTAAGCTGAACTTCACAGTTAAAACATATTTTTAGCTTTTTACCTTAATAAATTTGTAGATTTTAACCTTTTACCTTATACTATAATATTTTTAGTCTCTCACCTATACGAATTGAAAAAAATAACTCTTACTTAAGGTCAAGTTATAACATTTTGTTAGTTCTGTTAGCTGACTATTAACTCTGTTAGCTAATTATTAGCGTTTCGTTAACATTCCATTAATGAAACTAACAAATAAAATTGAATTTAAATTTCATATTTTATATAACATAATGCTAACAAATGCTAATAATTAGTTAATAGAGCAAACAGTCAATTAACAAAGCTAACAGTCTACTAACAGTCTGCTAACAGAATTAATAGAATGTTATAACCTAAGCTTAAGTAAGAGTTATTTTCTTCAACTCATATTGGTGAGGGGTTAAAAGTGTCATAATATAAGATGAGGAGCTAAAACTTACAAATTTATTAAGATAAATGCCTAAAAGTGTCATAATATAAATGTTATAACGGTTTGTTGTTGCTTTCTCCTTTCAATGAAGAAGAAGTAAAATGAGCAGTGTGGAGTTGTGGAAGCTCTAAAGCACCAGGGCCGGATGGATGCAATTTTAAATTTATCAAAGAAATGTGGGACACAATCAAAGATGATATGATGGGTTATGTTGATGACTTTCACAAAAATGGGAAATTGGTCATAGGAGTGAACAGTTCCTTCATCGTGTCGATACCCAAGGTTATTAACCCCTAGAAAATTGAGGAGTTTAGGCTTGTATCCTTAATCGACGTCATGTACAAGGTGATAGCAAAGCTTCTAGCAAATAGAATTAGCTCGGTTCTAGATAGCATCATTGGAGGAAGCTAAATGGCTTTCATTAGAGGAAGACAAATGGTTGACAATATTGTAATCACCAATGAAACAATTGATGCAGCGAGGAGAAACAAAAAGGCTAGCTTCATGTTTAAAGTGGACTTCGAGAAAGCATATGATAAGTTATGTTGGGAGTTCCTAGATTACATGATGTCGAGGATGGGTTTTGAACCAAAATGGAGAAGGTGGATCAATGAATGTCTAAAGACAACAGAGCTGTCGGTTCTACTCAATGGCAGTACTACCAAACAAGATAAAATCAACAGAGGCTTAAGACAAGGAGATCCACTCTCACCCTACTTATTTTTACTGGTTGCAGAAGGCTTTAATGGTATTATTTCTTCAACAATCAACCATGGACTTTTTGAAGGAATTGATAAGAGGTATGAAAGTGTCCCATTTACAGTTTGTTGATGATTCAATTCTATTTGGTAAGGCTGTGGAAGGCAACATATGGGTAGCGAAGAGTATAGTGAGAATTTTCGAGTTGGCATCGAGATTGAAGATTAATTTTGGGAAAAACCGAGTCTTAAGAATAAATGTTTCAGATGAATGGATGTCAAAAATGGCCCACATATTGAATTGTAAGTGAGGAGCATTCCCATGCAGATATTTGGGGGTACCAATAGGAGGCAGTGTTAAAAGTATTGCTTTGTGGAAACCTTTGATTGAGACATTTGAGAAAAAATTGAGCTAATGGAAAGGTCGATTTCTCTCTTCGGTGGAAGGATTACACTCCTCAATGCAGTGCTCTCCAATCTTCCAGTGTTTATCATGTCCGTGCACCTACTACCAAACGGTTTGATTCTTTCCTTAGATAAAATTCATAGGAATTTCCTATTGGGGGGAGGGGAGAGTAAGAGGAAAATTAACTGGGTTTCATGGGATAAAGTTTGCAAATGCAAAATGGAGGGTAGGTTAGGTGTCAAAGATCTTAGAAAATTCAATCTAGCATTGTTGGGTAAGTGGTGGGGTAGACTTGCAAGCGGGGAAAAGGGCCTATTGTTCAACGTTATTCATCATATGTAGGATAGACCATATTGATCATAACAGCAGGGGATGGCTATCAGGGGGATTTAAATTGAAACTTGGCGAGAGGTATTTTGTCAACTTTTGGAAGGATTTGTGGATAGGGGATCAACCTTTTGCTAACCGTTTTCTAGATTATTTCTTGTTTTTGCAGATAAAGAAAAGAGAATCTCTCAAATGGGAATATGGAGGGAAGAAAACTAGCAATGGACATTACATTGGAGACGATCGTTGTATGGGTGGGAGAAAGACAACCTTACCGAGATGCTGGGATTCATTAATAATATACACCCAATCAAAGGCCAAAAAGACTGTTGGGAATGGAGGTATAATAAAGAGGGAGAGTATTCTGTCAAAACAGCATATGGCCTGTTTTCCAGAAACAACG